ATATATATATATATATATATATATTTTTATATATATATGTTGAAAATAAATTAAGCATCTGTTAATTTAATTTAAAATATATCATATCCCCAATTGTTGAGAAAAAAAAGGAACACAAATAAGATAATGCCATAAAAAACATAAAAATAAATATAAGAGAACATAAATTGATCAATATCATAAAGAAATATAAAAATATTATACAAAATTTATTTTACGTGTTTCGACTTTCCTATCCAACCACAAAGATATTATATGTATGTTCTTGAAAATTAACTTTTTAAAATTTGTGAATAAAATTTGAAAATTTATTCTTATAAATTTCATGGATAAAATTTGAAAATTTCTTCCTCACAAATTACATGGATGAAACTTAGAATTTTTTTTTAAAATTTTCTAAATAAGACTTGAAAAACCATCTTCATAATAACCCTTTCTATATGTTTGATTTTTCTTATCTTAATAACTTTTATTTATTGACATAATATTCTAATAAGAGAAAATAAATTTTTTAAATAAATACAATATTTTTAATTTTAAACAATATTCTATAGACAAATATAATATTTTTTATATTTGAAAAATATCTTATATATAAACTTTAAATTGAAAATTTAAATTGTTTTTCTAACATTAAATCTCTCTCTTATTTATTATTATTTTTAATTTTCTTATAAAAAGTTAGGATGGCTGAACAAAAGACTTGTATTTATCAAACTATCAAAAGATAAATATACATAGATTTTAAATTTGTGACTTGATTATGATGTGTGAAACTTTATAGTTTACGACTAACTTCTTGAATTTAGTCGATTCATTTTTAATTTTTTCTTACTTTAATTTTTTATAAATAAATCTAGTTTATTAATTTTTTCAATGAAATATTTGTAAGTTGTATCTAAATTAAACATAACCATGCACTTTAATAAACAGGTCAATGTTAATTAGTGTCTTAGGAGTAATAATTACGAAGACAAAAAAAATTATATAAAAAATATATTCAGTAGTTGCTGTTTTAAGTAATAAGAAACGTTTAATAAACTGTGTTCAATGTTGGAATGAACATGAACAAGGGTTGCAACCTGCACATCAAAATCAGATTAGGTTACGTGGAAATTCATCAATCTTGATTGGTTTATATTGTTTCGAATTTTATGAATTTCAAACCAATCAAATCACACTCAAACATGTTTTGTAAAAGATTTTTTTTGTGGCACACGATGACCCATCCCAAATTTGATTAGATTTGTTCTTTGAGCTAAAAAAAATATATATATATCAAAATTGTTATGACTTTTATAATTACTCTCGAAAACATATATGCTATAAATAAAATGCAAATAAAAAAATAACACCCTTAATCATGTACACGAAACTTTGTGCTTAAACTAATTTATTTCAATAAGATATGGATTTGCAAACAATTATTTATGCATTGGTTTATGATTTTATTACATCAATGGTAGCTAAATTGTGGTTAAATAATCGCAATTACATATATTTTAATATTACATAATATATTAAGTAATAATTAATATAAAATTATAAAAATCAAGTTAAATTGGATTTTAAATAAATTTCTTTATATTAAATATAAACTATGAAAATGATTTTAGGAGTTATTTTTTCATGAAACTGGTTTTAAAGATTTTTTTAACATCTTATAATTTTTTATTTATCATATTTATTTATAAATTAAATTTAATATTTTTTTAAAAAAATATTAATAATTAAAAATAATCTCTTGTTGGATCATAAGTTAATTATTTTAAATTAGAAATATAATTTATATATTTAAAATATTTATTTATTCAAGTTTTAAATATAATTTATATATACAAGTATAATATTTATTTAAATACATAATTTATTATAAAATTTAATTATATAATTAAAAATTTAACTCGTAAAAATGCACATACTTAAATACTTGTTAACTTAAAAGCCTCATTAAAAATTATAAACTAAAAAATCATAATAAATAGATATATTTAACGATTTATACATAAATATTATCTCCCAAATTTCTTTCCTTATCTTTAATTACCGTAATCTTTTTAACACACTGTTTATTAGTACAACAAAAGATAAATTAAAAATTATTTTATCATTTAAAACAAAACAAAACAAATCAATAATACAAATAAAGCAAATAATAATTTTGTCTTTCTCGTCCATCTCACCAACAACAATTTTCTTCCCTATTTACGTGTTAATCAAATAAAGAAAAACTCTTTTTCTTTTCCTTCTTGCATCGAACCAATTACAATATTAATGGACAAAAACGTGTCTCTTAATATATAAATAAATAAATGAAAGAAAAAAGAGAGAATATAAATAGCATAACCGTGTCTTAACGGCGTGACTGTGCGTTGGTTGTAGTAGTTGGCATTGGTGTGAGCTCACTCTCTCGTTCGAAGCTCCCGCAGCCACCAGTGAGAGCCAGCGAGCGAGCGAGTTCCGATCGCTTCGCTGCACGAGTTCGCCGTTGCCTCGCCGGAAAATCCGAGATCTCTTATTCTCCGACGACGACGACTCAGATAACTCTATTATTCTCTTTTGTTAGGTTAGGTTATATACAGTTTTCAACGCATGGCTTCGGAGAATGTGAAGACCGGCGAATCCGCCGTGACGACGATCGTCAATCTCGCCGAGGAAGCCAAGCTCGCCAGAGAAGGCGTCGTCAAGGCTCCCAGCTACGCGCTCGGTAGCATCTGCAAGTCACTCGTAGCCGGTGGAGTCGCCGGAGGAGTGTCAGTTCCGTTTCTCGTTTCCTGTTTAATTTTTTTTCTTCGATTGGATTTTTATTTATGAATATGTTTTGAGAGGATTTGTGTTAAATTGTTGATTGGAATTGTTTGAGTTTTGGATCGTCAGGGAGCGGTGAAGGTTGAAGTGTTTTTGGGGGTTAATTTTGTGGAATGATTGATGGGTTTATTAGCCTTGTTTATGTGTTTGGTGAAGTGGATTGAGTGTGCGATCTGTTGAATGTAAGCGTTGCTGTTGATTTTGGACGTCAATGCGTGTGATTTTTGGATTTGGATCACTTGTGATTCTGTGAAGTGCCAGTTCCATCCCAGTGTTGGGGTTTTTGAATAAGATTCAGTTTGTTGTGTTTGCATGTGTTATTTATCGTGAAAATCACTGGAAAATCTTCATTCGTTCAAGGCTTTGATGGTAAATTGCCTTGCTAATGTTGCGTTTCCTGTCAATAAAAGAACATGTGCTAACATTGAATTGAGCTGAGATATGTAGTTACAATTACGACGATTCGTAATCCCGGGATCTGTGTTGGTGTTATGTTATGTTGAGTTTTAACCGAACCAAACTTTTTGTGTCTATGCAGGTCACGTACGGCAGTTGCTCCGCTGGAACGGTTGAAAATTTTGCTACAGGTTAGTTTATTTAGTTGTTTAGATCTACATGGATTTTGCTGTTATTTCTATTGAATTTTAGAGGAAGACAACAGTATATTTTAGAGAGAATTTAGAGAATGAGAATGCTTTATTATTCAAGAGAATATTTAGTACATAGGTTCTCCTTATTGGTTGAGATACAATCAAAGTCCTTATTTGTTGAGATACAATGAAAGTCCCATATCGTTTGAACAAGAGGATGACAAGAATTTATATACACACAAAGTTTCTATTAGTAAGAGGCTTTTTTGGGTAATTACCGAAATCCAAATTTTGAGGGTTTAGGCTCAAAGTCAAAGTAGACAATATTATACCAATATGAAGACATGTGTGGAAACTCTGTGGTGGACAATAATAAACCTCTTGATGGGCTTAGATTCTGATTGGATAAACTTCTCCATAAAATTTTTATAGAAGAACATAAAAAAAATAAATCAAATTTATTTCATAACTTCAAATCATAAGAAAGCTTCTATAAAAATTGAAGTGCATAAATTGATTTTAACTTATGAGAAAATTTAATTCATTTTTCTTTCTTATTTTCTTCTTTTGTGTTTATGGATAAGTTTATTCCATCAGGGCATTCTTTAGTGGAGACTATTCCCTAGGATAATAACGTGTTGCTAATTAAATATATTGAAACATGGGATGCATGAACATATTATTTCTTATGTACAATTAATGTCATTATTTAAACAATTTATCCTCCGTAGTTTGTACTGGGGTCAAAAGTGTACTGTATCCGAGGTTGCTTGTTTGGATATGTCCTAATTTCTATATTTGACATGTCTCTGGTCTTGCCATACGCAGGTCCAGAATCCTCATAACATTAAATACAATGGAACAATTCAAGGCCTAAAATATATATGGAGAACTGAAGGTTTCCGTGGACTTTTCAAAGGAAATGGTACTAATTGTGCTCGAATTGTCCCTAATTCTGCTGTGAAGTTCTTCAGTTACGAGCAAGCTTCTAAGTAAGTTTTTCTTTAGATACAAAACAATGCGTTCATTGCTTTATTGTTTAGTATTCTTGTTGTTGGTTTTCATTTAGGGGCACTGCTATACCAAATACCGATCATCTTATGGAAAATTGACTTCTGCAGACTGCAATCCTCTTTTAACATTTTCCTTTTCCTACATGGTTTTATTTAAATAGGGCCACTCCAATGACTAACTTCTTTAATTATTTCAGAGCATCCCACATTCTCACTTTTCATCTTTAAACTTTGTCTCCTGTGTTTTTTCTGATCATTCCTTCCTTTTATGACAGGGGTATACTGTATCTGTATCAGCAGCAAACTGGAAATGGTACATTCACGTTTACCATTTTTTCTTGAAATAATTTGTGTATAGTTGGGATAATGTTTTCTTTAAGTAGAACATGGGCAAGTACAGATTTAATTTATGATTGATAAATTGGACTATAGGAAGCTCTGCTTTCTGGAAAACTCTTCATTTTTGCTTTATTATTCTTGTACTTATATTATATCCATTTGTTATGGATTCGTCCCTTATCATATTGGCTAATAACTTATGTAATTACTAAGAGTTCAGACTTTCGCTTTGTGTAAATCATCTCCTTGATGAGAATGTTTGGCTAGTGAGGCAACATGTTATCAGAATTATGAATCCCTTTTAAGAACTTGGATTTTGAAGGTCTAAATTTATGCCAATTGCTACTAATATGTGGAGACAGGGCCTATTTGTATACTCAATGCAGTGCTGAAATTGAATATTTTTATAAAAAAAAGAATGATTTAGTGGCATAGTTGTCAGAACCAGACCAAATCAGCTGGTCAGACTGCGGGCTGGTTTGCTCAACCCTCAAAATTGGCTTGACAAAGAACTGGTGTAAAACCGGGCAAACCAGTAATGGCCAATTCACTAGAAAACATTTTCTAATTAAAAACTAATGATATTTGATACAATTCAAACTCAATGTTATGTTATGCTGATTGATAGTTATATCAATTATATGTATTTATTTTTTAATTATAATTGTTAATGGATATTATTGTGTTGCTGAACTTAAATCTTGTTACAGGTTTTATTTGGTTTTCATGTTTAATTTTGAATGTTATATTTGAGTTATAAGTAATGATATTTATAAGTGAAATTTATTTTTTAATATAATGGAATTATGAATATTATGTTTATTTTTTGCTTAATATATTACATTAAAAACTAAAATAATATTATTTAATTCTAATTGGTTCAATCATAGTTAAACCATTGAATTTTGAACTAGTGCTTTCACTAATTCAATGACCAGTCCTATTTGAAAACTTTGTTTAGTTGTGTTTCTTCAATATGTATTCAGTAACCTTTTCATTTTTAAATTAAGAAATGCTAGTTTACTTTTGTATAAATACATTTATTTTATTAAATGCCAATTTCCTCCCTTAATACCACATTTAGCAATTGAATGAAAATCTTTTTAAACATTACAAATTCTGTGCTTAACTTTTTGTCAGTGAAAAATGTTCCTCGTTAATAACTCAGCCACTTATGGCAATACAGTCTGAAACAAACTTCATATATATTTTGAATTGACAAAACCTGTTAGTAATGAAACCCTTTGGGCTGTCTAATTATATTCTCTTGTGCCTTCTGCAGAGGATGCTCAGCTGACTCCTCTTTTACGACTGGGAGCTGGAGCATGTGCTGGAATAATTGCTATGTCAGCAACTTATCCAATGGATATGGTTCGAGGCAGGATTACTGTGCAGGTACATTTTTCTCATTTTATTTTACTGAATGCTTGCTTTTATTGTTGTGAGCTAGAATGGTAGCTGAAAATGCATACAAGAAATTACATCCTCTGATAGTTGTAAAGTTTAATGGAGAAAAAGTTAAGTTATCCATGTTTTTGTGGTCTTCATGGTTGAGACGAAACTCATAACGTTCATTGCCATTTTTTTGCAGACTGAGGCATCCCCATACCAGTACAGAGGAATGTTTCATGCTTTGTCTACTGTGCTTAGGGAAGAAGGTCCCCGTGCTTTATATAAGGGTTGGCTTCCTTCGGTTATTGGAGTTGTGAGTAATATTTTCATAATATCTCTTTTCATAAAGATGATGATCATGTTTATGATTTTAAAGATGGATCTATAACAAATCTAAACATGCTTGAATTACAATCTTTGTAGGAAGTTCTCACTGCTTTTGAAAGAAACATAAAACCTGTAGTTTGGGGAGGGAGAGAACTTTATCCTGAAGAATGATAGGAAAAAAAATTTCTGATAAAAGAAACTGAACTTCTGCTTAGATTGCGTGAAAGTATAGTTATATGCATCGTATATTCCCTCCTTTATCTTTTCTTTGTGAACTATTAGTCAATTACATGCTTGAACCTGTTCTCTTTTTGAAAAACTTATTTTTAACTGTTAAACTCTAAATAAATGGCTTAAGTGGGTTGAGTTTTTTTCACCTTCAAATTACTTAGTTAATTATAGCTGTTTGATGTGAATATCTAACAGTATTTGTCTCTTTTTTTATATCAGTCCTTTTTGGCACTGCTTATAGGTGCAGGATATTAGGAAGGGTGTGCATCTGGTTTTTCTGTTAAGTCATACCTGTCTGTGGTAGGATCTATAGGTAGATTCATACAATTATTCTTTCAGGCATGCATTACTGTTGGGTATAAGATAGATTGGAGTAACATTAAGGTATTTAATTAGATAATGCCTCACCACTTCATACAAGGGAGAGAAGATTGCATGATTCCTTAAAGGTTAAAAAATGGCAAAACTAATCCATTACAGATTCTCTCCATGAAAAAGTTAATATTATTCTATTTTCTGAAGGTGGTTTATAATGAATTCCGATAGTTAATTACTGCTTCTTAAGGCTGGTGATAAAGTTCACCCAGTTGTGGGTTTATGTAGGTAGATGTCCATCAATCCATTGATTGCTGCATTACTTTTGGTAGCTAATAGTTTCAAACAAAAATTGAGGCAAACTATATCAGTCAGGTTACACCTAATATTGATGCAATTAAATTTAGAGATATAAAAGCTTACTGTTCTGCAATGTTCTCAGGATGTTTAATGCTTCAGAAATCAGAACTACAGTGGACTATTGGACTGAATCATATTTTAATTTTGCATAGAATCAAGCCCTCTTCTTGGGTGCTTCTGTCAGAATTAATACTCTCTTATTCTCTTTTCCCCAGATTCCTTATGTAGGTCTCAACTTTGCTGTGTACGAGTCTCTAAAAGATTGGTTACTTAAATCCAATCCATTTGGTCTAGTTGAAAATTCTGAGCTGAGTGTGACAACACGCCTGGCTTGTGGTGCTGCTGCTGGAACTGTTGGACAAACTGTTGCTTACCCTCTTGATGTTATTCGTCGAAGAATGCAGATGGTTGGTTGGAACCATGCTGCTTCTGTTCTAACTGCTGATGGAAGAAGCAAAGTCCCACTTGAATACACTGGAATGATTGATGCATTTAGAAAAACTGTTCAGCACGAGGGATTTGGTGCATTATACAAGGGTTTGGTGCCTAACTCTGTAAAGGTCAGTCTTCATCTGATTCTCATGATCTGCTCTATCAAAATTGTATTCTAGACTTTTTCTTGTTTGAAAAAGAAGGCTTGCATTTCTTACCGTTGCTTTAGAATCTAGAATGACATTACTGTTCCATGTCACCAGAAAGGCAGAAAATTTGCAGGACACTTTCATATCACATTGATGATTCCATGTGGGATTCCCTCAATCATACTCTGCTTAAATTAACCTCTTATAAGAACTGTAAATATAATAAGTCTGCCTGATTTTCCAAAAGTCAACATTGCAACACTCATTGCCTATGATTGAGCCAAATATTGATTTACTGATATTATGTGCTAGTTAATGCTCAGTTCCAGATTCATTTATAATGATAACTGCAAACATATGCACACTAACTAACCTCATAGGATTGTTTACAAGTTTTTGACTACATGCATTGGTCTTAAAATTTTGGGTTGCTTTTGAATTTCTTGTGTTCAAAAAACATGCAAAGAGATCTTTGAGTAGTTAATTTCATTTGTTTAATGACATTACTAGATGGTCCTTTCGAGCTTAGTGTTTAGAATTTTTCTCATTTCCCTTCACTGTTTCTGCAATGTTAAATAAACTTGTATATTTTGTTAAGTATATTTACCTGAAATTATTATTTTATGGCCTTGTTTTGTTTATAACTTTAATCACTTCATTTGATGTTTTGCAGGTTGTTCCATCAATAGCAATTGCATTTGTAACATATGAGGTGGTGAAGGACGTTTTAGGAGTTGAGATCAGAATATCAGACTAAAGTTTGATAACCACATGGTATCTGTTCACCTGGTGTGGTTTCTTTGTTTTTGTTTTCTTTTTTTGTAGGCAAGGGGATGCAGAGATGGTAACTTACAGTTATTTCTTGTTTTTCATCTCTTCAAGGATGAGCTTAGAAACTCGTAGAGCTAGTGTCCATAAATTTATTCCCTTGTTCTATTTGTTTACCTTGTTCTATTTGTCCATAATAAGTGTTGTGGAAAAACAATGCAAGGACATATTTGCCTAGCTTTCTGCATTAGTTGAGAAAGCATTTTTCTTAGTGGAATTTGCATTAACTGAAATTTGCTTGCCCCCTCTCTACCCTCTCCCATCCATAGATAATTATACGTTTTGAATGATTGTGTTACAACGTTTGCTGCTATGGGCATGCTTCTAGACGGACTTGTTAATGCAATGACTAGTCATGTCATTTTTTTATTTAACCTTGTCATAGGTTTTGCCACGAGAAAGGGACTTGTTTACCATCTGGTATTACTCTTCTTTTGGGTGAATGCTTCAATTTTTAGCAGGTTGGACGAACACTTCACTACTCTTTTGTTGGCCATTGAAGTGTAACAAACACCGATCTGTCCATTCATTTAATAAATTTTGTCACCCAAACTATTTAGCATTCTAAGACGATTGGATGTTTAACCATCAATATTCTAATACTTCTTTTAAAGTGTTAGAAACACCTCATAGTTAGTAACTAGGTAATAGGGACAAGTAGTCACTTTCAAATTTTATTTCTAGTCTGACAATATTTGTGTCATTATTTGGTATTTTTATTGCATGGTGAATAACGAACAACTGAAATGGCGATGGGGCTGATGACACTGGGAACAGGAGTTTACTATTAGGTGCCGGCATGTCCTTTTCTTCTCCACTCTGACGAACAACAGCTTCTGATGCTATTGTTATAACTTGATGTTGACCAACATTTTAGTCCTTTTCTTCTCCGCCCCGATGAAATTGACTACTTTTCTTTTCATCTGATGAATTGGTATTACTTGATGTTGACCAACATTTTAAAACAATTTTTTTTTATAGAAAAATTCATGTTGTCTGTTGATTTTGTAATCCTCCGCACAGTAAAAGATATTACATTCTTCATCCTTGGTTGGATTGGACATACAAGATGAGAACGAACGCATAATCAGATGTCAATAACTGAATGTTACAATCATACGGCTTTTTACCCTGCAAGGGTATATTTACATAAATCAGACTGTTTTTAAAACTATTTATGCTTATAAAATTATTTGCTATAGGTTGTTATGAACTATAGTAATCCAGGTGATACGAAACAATTTTTTTTTAATATTGTTTGAGACGTTTGAGTTGTGGTGATGTTGTTATAGTCGGTAATAATACTAATGAGGTTCCTATCAGCTGTAATGACTTGTTAATGGTGTAATATTTTGAAGATTGTTATGACTCATATATCTTTGTTTTTTTTAAAAGGAGTATTTTTTTTAAGTCATCATGGTTCATATCATTTTTATTTTTTTATTAAAAAAATAGTCATAGCGACTTCAAAAAAAAAAACCATCACGTGATCATGTAATCTACATGCTAGCAAAAATTGGTAAAGTTTGAAAGAAAGTACAACCAACGTGTACTATTCTATCACACATAATTCAATAATTTACTTTAATTTAAGAATTATTTTTACTAATTTTAGACATTAATTTGGTTTTTTCTATTATTTTAGGAACCAATTTAATAATTCACTTTGAAAAATTAATTCTTTTAGATTAAGGAAACAAATTTCAAAATTTAAAATTAAAATAGAATTTATTTATAATTGTTTATATATATATATATAGATATAATCTAATTCATGTGCTTTTTTAAGAGGTTCTTATGATACATATTATCTTTGTATTTTTTAAAGAGTTTATTTTAACCTATAGCGATTCCTATAAAAAAATAAATAAATAATGAAATTATTATGATCTACAACAACCTCTTAAAAAAATTGAATTGTTATAAGTCTAATGACAAAAAAAGTTATGTTATATTATAATTCGTTACCAACTATAACAACTCTTTCTTTATAACTCTCGATAACTAAAAAAAATTATGTTGATTATAGTATATATAGATCTTATAACAAACAATAAATTTATAAAATTGCTACAAGCATAGAAAAGCAAAAGAATATAGTTTGTCAAACTTTAATCCTTTTGACTAAGATATTTGCGTAAAGACATGTTTTCTTCCAAATTTTTCAACAAATTTTTTTTCCCTTAAGCTCATCCAAAATGCGGTCTTAACTCTTAAAGATCTAAAGTTGTGTTATTTGATTAATAAAATGTTAAACTTTACCTGAAATCTCAAGCTGATTGACCAATTTAGAGCACTTTTCCAAATTATTTACGTAAATGGGACTGTTTTTAAACTATGTACACCTTTGGGGTATTTTTTAACGGTGTCGCTATGGGCCATAGCGACACCAGTGACACGTAGATTTTTTTAACTCGAAAGAAGTTATGAAAGCCATATTTACAATGTCGCTACAGCCTATGACGACACAAAACGGCTTCAATGAAATTGCTATAACCTACAGCGCCACATTTTTAATATAAAATAAAAATTTTAAAAAAATATAAGTAAATAGTTAAAAAAACGAAAAAGGAGATCATTATAGCCTATAGCAACACAATGTTGTTATAGGTCATAGCGCCACTTATTTAAATATTAAAATACATAAAATTAAAAATATATATATAAAAAAAAAGAAATTACAGAGAAGATAAATATAAAAATATAAATTTATATTAAATTCATAATATAAATTAAAATTTGAAAAAAAGAAACTAAGTTAATAATTTTAAAAAAATAAGTTCAAATGAAAAAAATTTAAATACATAAAAAGGAAAAATAAATATGTATAAAATAAAAAATTACTGAAAAGATAAATTTATAAATATAAATTTAAATGAAATTCATAATAAAAATTAAAATTTGAAAAGAAGAAATTAAGTTAATAATTTAAATAAAAAAACGTAAAAAATAGTGGCGCTATGACTTATAGTGACACGTCACTTTTATAAATATTTAAATAGATAAAAAGGAAAAAAATATGTATAAAATAAAGAAATTACAGAAATAATAAATTTATAAATATAAATTTATATGAAATTGATAATATAAATTAAATTTGGAAAAAAGAAATTAAGTTAATAATTAAAAAAAATATTTACTGGAATTAAATAAATTTTTGTAAAATAATTTACTGGAATGTTGAGTATATAATAATTTTTAACAGATATATTTTATTTAAAAGTTGTGTATAGTGTATAATAGAAAATGAAAAAAATCAATTTTTTCTAGGGACAGAATTTATTTATATAAATGGAAATAATAAAAAACACAAAAAAATGAAATATAAAATAATTTGAAAAAAAAAACTAGTACAATAATCTGGAGAGAAAAAAAAGACTCAATAACCTAAAAAAATAAAAATTTTGAAAAAAAAAAACTTGATATCGCTATGGGCCATAGCGACACAATCATAACGACATCAACCATTTTTTTTTAGTGTTTCGTTTTTTTTCTACCTAAAGTCACTATGGGTTATAGCAACAAAAAGTCGCTATGATCCAAAACGACATCAGTTTTTTTTTTTTAGTTTTCGCTTTTTTTTACTTCAGTTTTTTTTTTCAAAATTTTTTTTTGGTCATTGGGTCATTTTTTTCTCCAGATTTATTTTACCAGTTTTTTTTTTTAAAATTTATTTTGTAATTCATTTTTTTTTGTATTTTTCTACATTTTTTCCCTTCACTTTTTTGTGCGTATTTTTTTATTTATATTTCTTTCCTCAGTTTTATTTTTTTGTGTGCTTTTTTTTTAAAAATAATTATTGTTTTGTGCTTTTTTTATTTTTTTTCTTTCAGTTAATTAAAATACATCTGTAAAAGGAAAAAATAAAAGAAAAAAAAATAAAATATCAAATAAACTGAACGAACAAAATAAAAAAAATACATAAAAAATAACAATAAAATATAATTTTTCAAAATAATATATAAAATAAATATGGAAAAACTTAAAATAAAAAAAAAAGGAAGTCGTTATGGCCCATAGCGACTTTGTATCGCTGTGGGCCATAGCGCCTACAGCAAATATGTAAATTTTATTTTAAAAATCTTTTTTTGTTGTAAAAAAATTATGAATATATTTTTAAAAATCAAATTTTAAATGAATTATATTTTAAATAATATTTTATTTCTATTAAAAATTATTTTTTTATTATAAAATTTAGCCATTTAAAATAGTTTTGGAGTCTGTAACACACTAGTTAAGTCGCTATAGGCTGTAGCGACTTCTACGTGGTTAAGTTTAAGCCGTTCTCAATTTAAAAAATAAAATAAAATTGCCACTTGGCAAAGATGTCGTCCATAGCGACATTGTACAAAATAGCCCCAAAGGTATAAATAATTTCAAAACAGCCCGATTTACATAAATAATTTTAGAAACTACCCTACAATGGTCAATCCAAAATCTCACGGTAGTCTGTTTCTTCTTAATGACAGCCTCTTCACAAGTTTGGTTTCATTTATCACTCTAAAATATAATATTTATTAATATATAATTTATTATAAATTTTAATTATATATAATAAAAATGGTTATATATTATTATTAAGCATGCTAAAATTCTGGTTTATCTTGGAAAGTAATATGTAAATCTTTTTGTGCATAAGAATTTGAGAATATATAATTGAGTGTGGCATACAGTAAAAAGGAAGAAGTCGAGGGCTACTACGTGGGAAGCCATCTTCTTTATCTGCGCCCGAGAAAATTGATACATAAGGCATGAGAGAAACAAAAAAGAATCACTCTGAGTCAGTTGAAGAAGGAATATTCAACATAACCATAACAGGGTTTGAAAGTTGATGGTTGGAATATGATAGCCAACCCTCCCTTGGATTATGAGCCTCACCACCAAGAAGGCTCCCTCACGTCTTCACCACCGTCCTCCAACTCCCCTTCCGCCCACAAGTCCCCTCACTGCTTCCACCAGTTCAGCCTCAACGTCTGGAGCTCACCACTGCCCAGCTCATCATGACATGCCCAAGCGTGGGAACTGGAAAGATAACCATGACAATAGTGACGTTGACGTTGCTGCTATGCTACACTCATGCTTGTGCTGTGATTTATTTTGAGTAATGTTATGATGAGCACAAGGTCCTCTTGATTTGGATTTAGTTTTGGTGCATTGCTTTTTTGACGGAACAAAGTCACTCATTTTACTATTCCTATGACAATTTTAGGTTACCAAAAGTATTTATGATCTGACATACAATCCAAAAAGTTTATTTTATTATCGTCTTCAACTATCCCATCTATGTTATCCCTCATCTCATGCCAATTTTCAAAATTCATTAGGGACATTCTAAGTTTGATTAAAAGGCTTTTTGTTTGTTAGGGATGCATGCCCACATATAGTCAAAATTTTTGTAAAAATCTTTTATTACTTCAATTTTTATTTCTACATACAAATCTGTGCAAAAATCTTTTCAAACGAAAATGGGTGATCATTTTTATAATAATTGTGTGCATGATCAAAATTTTTATAATAATAAGAACAGTAAAAAAGAACTTAGAAAACTAAAAGAATATATTAGGAAAAAAAAAAGATGAAGAAAATGAAATAAATTAGTGGTGGAGGAAGAAACTTATGGAGCTTCAAAGTCTAAAGGAGAAGATGTTATTTTGCAATGTTGATATGCAGGTTTTATCTCCTGCAACATAATCACTTACATTATTCTGATTCTCCTCATTCCATATAAACATTACAAGAGAAACAAAAGAACAAAAGGAATACAAGCAACATGTTTTAGGTCAGCTTGAGATGTGTGTTTGCGGCAGACGACTCAATGCACTATTCATTCTCTTCCTCTTTTACTCTATCTATTCCAGTGTTAATTTATTTATATGCTTCTGTCATATTTCCTGTTATAAAAATACATTATGAATCACTAATTAATGTGTGCTTACCTATGTGCATGTTCACAAATTAGTAAAACTCGCTGTGGCAGAGATTCCCCGCAAATGACACCTGCATATAATAAGGAACCTGCAGGATTGATACAATTTAGTCTCAATTCTGTTTCTAGTTTGATTTATCTTACTCTAAATATGAGGTTATTAATCATCCTTGATTCTTTGTTTGGTTCGTAACAGTAGAAAAAAAATGAAAAGAAAATGGTTAAGTAAATAGAAGCTAACAAATGTGTGGTGCAACATGTAATAATTTAAGGTGGTAAGTGGTAGTGTATCTTACGTTAGATCCTAAGATGAACCAATCTTTGGTGTTGTTGTTGTTTTTTTTTTATTATTTTTTTTTTATTATTTTTTTATTTTTTATAATAAGACTTGTGAACTGTCTTTGCTTCTTAATTTAATCATTACTTGTAACTTTGTTATTTAAAACAATATAAATGTTTAAGAAAATCATTGATTATACTGATTTTTAACATAAAGTAATTTTATCTGGCTAATTCTTTTCTATTTCATAAATAACTGTCTAAGCTATACCTACATATCTACTGATATAAAAAAGTAAATTCAGAAATGACATATAATTAAAGATATTAAAATATTTTAAAAATAACAGATAAAATAAATTAGAAGTAGTATTTGTCAAAAAAAAAAAAAAATAGTGCATGCAACTTGTGACATTGAGATGAACAAAACAATATAAATGAGAAATGACTAATATTTCATTTGTTATAAATAGTTGTATGATTTAAAAAGTTGAATAGTTGTTTATGTGTCCAACCAACACAAATGCATATAATATAAATGAGAAATGACCAAAATTTCATTTGTTATAATCATATTCCTCAATTATTTTCTTTCATCTTTAAAATTTTTTTTGACTATTTAAAATATTTTAAATAAAATATAATAAATTTAATTCTAATAATAATAAATTAATTTTTTTATCATTCAAATTAAAAAACATTTAATTATATTTAAAAATAAACTTATTAACTTATTTAAATTAAATTTATTAATCTATTTAAAATTATTAATATAAAATATATTTTTAAATAAATTAATAAATTAAATCAAATTTTTTAAAAGATCAAATTATAATAAATAATTAAAGTTAAAATTTAATTTTATAAAATTATGTTAAACTTGTATTTTACTATAAGGAGTGTGTAATATTTATGTCTTGTAACATTTATTGTTGGGAAGTGATAATCTAACACAAAAAATTAACTAATCAAACATAATTTTAATTTAAATATGTGTTGCATGTACAAGCATGACACATAATCAAACATTCTAAAAATTAAAATTCAATAGCTTTAAGATTTTGAATAAGATTGCAGTCAGAGAAACCATATCCAAAGCTCCTATTAGTGCTTGTTTAATGTATAACTATTTATTATTATTTCACTCCTACTTTATTTTTCAAGAAACACAATTTAAACACCATTTATTTTATATTTATAAATATTGTGTAATTATCGACTAAATATAAAAAGAATAATTATTTTTTTTATAAATTGTAATTTAAATAAAAATGATTTTAATTTTTTCTTTATAAGCACGTGTCACACGAGTGAGAGGTTCGTATGTGTGTGGCCTCTAGAGGAGCCACGACGACACACAACTCAGTGAGAGGTTGGCACGTACAAAATATTGCAAACCTCTCATTTTTGACACTAATCTATCCATTAATTACTATGAGACCACCGCCACCGCTTGGCACGTGCAATTTCGTGACCTTTTTCCTCTTTGCTACATGAATCCCTTGACCTTAATAGCTATGTCTAGTTTCTAACAGTGACCCCAAGAAAGATCAAGTTTGTGAAATTAAAGTTTATAATATTTAAACTGCTATAAATAATGTGTTCAACTTTAAATGATAGCAATAAACCACCTTGTTTTGAGTTGAGTAATCAATTAGTAGTATCCGCATAATTTATATTCCAAATAGGATGAGATTCTAAGCAACTAGGTTAAGGTTAATGAAGATTACACAACTTGTAAGAAGAATATATTTTTTTTAACACAGGTTAAAATTTATTAAAAAATTATAAAATACATTAAATAAAATTTAAGATTCACCTTTTTTTTAATTATTTTTTTAATAAAATTTAACTAAAAAGAAATATATTTTATTTTATAATAACAAGTGAAAATATGTTAGAGAATATCACTTTTAGTATTTCTTTGACGTATGATGACATATATAAACAAAATAATATTTTTTAAAGAAAGGCTAAATTATTGTCATAATTACTTAGATAATAAATAAGAAAAATTAAAGGGAAGTTAGATGTAGTTAAAAAGACTAATTTCTCACAACGGAATATAACTTAAGATTCAATTTTTTTATAAAACAAATGCGATCATATTTAATAAAATTATCACTGAAAAAAATACACAACAAAAGTTTAATTAAAGAGAATTAATCTTAAAAATCTTAAGAAACATATGTTAAAAAATTGATTCATAAAAATTATTAACTTATTCTCTATTCAGATTTGCTAGCTGGCGGCGGCAACAACAAAAGAAACAACATCGTGGCAGTACTTTTCACCTCAGACGTGGACAGTCCTATATGTTCCAAATTAATGAAAAAAGAAAAAGAAGTGTTAAATTGTGTCCATAATAATTATAATAAATATCTAACACAAACAACCCAAGCTTTGCTATGAATTGAAGTATTTATTGGTTTTCATTGTGTGTCGTTGGCAAGATATTTTTTCCTGCAAGCAACTTTGTTTGCTTTGAGGTATGCTCTTATCACTTTCATTTTATCCATTAGTTTCTCATCTCTTTTTCTTATGCTTTTATTTTGTTCATTGCTACTGCATGTCATGTTGCTTCACACACACTCTATACTTCATGTTAGCAAAATGGTTCACTCCATCTTTTGTCATCCAACTTGCCAATTATGTTTCTTGTTACGAAAATTTGAATAACTACAACTTTAATACATATATGTTTTTGTCACCCTTTGAAATTTTCAGAGAATAAGGGATATTTAGAGGCCAGGGGTTAAATTAAATATTTGTTAAAGGCAGGTCCTAGGTTTTCACTTTTCATTCATGTTCATAATTTGTCACTTTATGTTGAGGTTTTTGTGTGATGGTACTTATTGTAATCTCATTGATCTGAATGTTCCTCGTGCAGGTCTTTCAAATTGATTGAAGGAACTGCATTTGGATTTGCATGAATTGTACCAGAAGACATGGCTACTGCAAATGGTGGCACCGGAACTGAGGAGCACAAGAGAAAAACCAATGATCATTTTCTTAAGTCAGGGGGACACACAAACATGCCAAGGTCACCTAGATTGTGCACACCTATTAAAAAGGAATGGCCAGAAAATTTGCCAAAGGACAATGTGATTGGTAATGAGGATAATGGTTTGAATAGATATGTTACTTCCTTAGCTGGATCTGGACTTCCTAGTACTAGTTTTTGTTCCACAACAGATTGCGAACACATTGTTGAAGAGTTAACTGCTAGGAACTATAAGAACCAGAATATTGATTTAGTTAGCCACACAAGACATGCTCAGAGGAATCAATTCATGATTGAGTCTAAGTATAATAGCTTGAGTAAAGAAATTGTCCCCAAGGTTGAGGAACAGATGCCGCTCAGATTAAGCAAAGGACTTAAGGGAATTGATTCTGAATTTTGGGGGCTGAAGTCTCTGCCTAGTAAGAGTGTAAATCATGACTCGCTAAAAGTCTCAGCGGATATAGGCAATATAAACAAGGCTATCATCTCAAACAATGCACATCATATTAGCAGTATAGCTCAGAGTACTTCATCTGCATATAACTATCCACAATTGATTGTAAAGCAAACAAGGAAGGGAAAGGGGGTTATTTCCAAGGATGTAGACAAGAGCTTCAGAATTGAAGGAGCACTTGAGAGCAAGGAGGATGAAAAACCTGCTTTTACAGCCAAGTTTCAGTCTGATACACCGCTGAGATCAAATGTTGATGATAATAAGCCCTTATTAGAAGGAACTGTCATGTCTGGTAGCAATGGACTCAACTTAAGAGAGTGGCTGAAGTCTGAAGGTCTTAAAATGAAGAAATCAGGAAGGCTTGGTATATTTAAGCAGATGTTGGAATTGGTTGATTTTGCGCATTCACAAGGACTTGTCTTGTTAGACTTTCAACCATCTTTTTTCACTTTATTGCCTTCAAGTAAGATTAAGTACATTGGTTCATATGGCCATCAAGAGTTAGATGATGAAGTCATGACATGCAATGTGAGTAGGAAAAGACCTCTGAAGCAGAATACCTGTGCTTGCCAAAATTTGAGTACGAAGCAGCAAAAGCTCTCTGAGGAGACAGGATCTTTTAGGAAGCAGCATCACTTCACCTGTATTCATGGTAGCAGGACCACAATGAACCAAACTGACTGTGACTCAAACAGACCCTTGGAATCAAGGAGTAAAGAAAGTATGTGCAAAAACAGTTCTAGTTGTCAATGTACTTGTACTGAAGAAAAGCAGTTTCAGTCAGCAAGCATTCAGTTAGAAGAGAAGTGGTATTGGAGTCCAGAAATGCTCAATGATGGAGTTTGCACATTTTCATCAAATATTTATAGCCTTGGAGTTCTTCTTTTTGAGGTAAGCAAATATTTTTTCCCTCACATTGTTACTTTTCCTAACGTTTTCTCCTGTATTATTTTGTCTTTCTAGCCAGTCAAATTATTTTGTTGGATTTCATTAATGAAACTAACCATAGAGCTTTAATATGCACCATGTTTTTCCTTCTGAATATGTTAATGAAAATTATATGATATTTTGGTTGCTGCAACCTAGCAAGTGATTACTTCCAAGCAAGACATACATTTGACATACCGTTCCAAACCTTTGGAAATGACTTTCAAACTACGAATTATGGAGTTTTAAACTTTCTGGATTAGAGTTGTTAAATATGTTGATCTTTTTTTAACTATTTCAGTTGCTTCTAATCATATTTAAAGATTAACTATTTAAATGTTATTCTTTTTAACATTTAAGTGAATGGTTCTCTCAGTTGCTGTGCAATATTGAGTCACGGGAGGCCCATTCAACTGTGATGATGGATTTATGTTATAGAATCTTACCGCCTAAATTTCTAGCGGAAAATCCAAAGGAAGCTGGGTTTTGTCTTTGGCTTCTGCATCCTGAACCTTCTTCTCGCCCCAATTCCAGGTGACATAATATGCTGCTTTTCTTATGTTTGATGATATCTTTCTGTCTCATTTGATTAAATTTTTTCTTAAGTTGCCTTCTAACAATGTCATCTTTATGTTGGAAAGTCCTGCATCGCTTGTCTCAATTCTTGGAGTGCAGCTTATTTATCTGTTAGACATCTTCACTTAATATCGATTGGTTTTAAGATGGAATCTAACATAGTTTCAAAGTCTATAACCCATTTTCGTAGTTCACCTATTCTAGTAGACATTGCCTAATCTGATAGGCATCTGTGGATGAGGGGGTGTTGGGAAGCCCCACCCACCTGCCTTAATTCTTAGGGTGCAACTCATATATCTGTTAAACTTCACTTAATGTCAATTGATTTTAAAATGGAATTTAATAGTTTAATGGCTCCATGATGGATGATGACAGTAGTGAATACTGATATTGAAGGGAATTTAGGACAGCATTTGGAAAAATTAATGTTTATACCATGCTTTTTCTGGCCATGCATATGATTGGGTGGTGCTAAGTGCTAACTACCCAACTGTATATGTCTGTCTCTATCTAAGGAGCAATGTATGCAGTTGTGCAAAGCAATTTTTAAATTCTGTCTGGTAATCATTAATATAATAATGTTGCTTGATGTTCTAATTGTAGAATGCAGGCTATAGATGATAAAAAGAAGCTACTTAACTTGATTTGATAGCCAGGTGGCTATTGTCCTTATTGATCATAATGCTTGACAAACCAGATAACTAAAAAGGATAAAAAGGAGTGTTCCTAGAATAGCTTTAAGCTTTATAAAAATTTGGTCAAGTATCCACTTGTGTAAATGTGACTTGGAAACAGTGATGATTAGCACATTGTTTGTAGTTTCCTTTTCTAAGGACATGCTATGCTATTCAGTTTTTGGTTGTTGGCATCTCTTTATTTTCCAGATTCCATTCTAGCCCCTTCTGCTAATTAAGTTTGGCCACTAGGACCATGGATCTTCATGTCTCTTTGTAAATGAAAATAACTGTTCAGAAAACAAAACATACTTTCTTTTCTTTCCTTTTAAGATGTTTAAATAATCATATGGCTATAAGAATAATGGTATTTAAGGGGCATCCTGTTTCTTTTATAATTTTATAATCCTCCTTCAATGTACAACAGGATGATTTTGGAATCTGAACTTATATGTGAATCAGAGGAATCAAATTCTGTTGATGATGTTGGAATATCTGATGATGAGGCTGAAACAGATCAATTACTACATTTTCTAATTTCACTCAAAGAAGAAAAGAATAAACAGGCAGCCAAGTTGGAAGAAGAGCTAAATTTCTTGGATGAAGATATTAAGGAGATAGAAAGGAGCTATTCATTGGGGACAGATTCAGTATTTCCTTTGGCACAAACGAACAATCCTGAAGTGAGAGCAAGCAGTTTACATTCTCATGATTCTCTCAGTTCAGACATTAGTAGACCCATTCAAAGGTCATTTGTTGATGAAGAAAGATTTTTGAGTAACATAAATCAGCTAGAGGATTCTTACTTTTCAACAAGATCTCGGGTCCTGCTGAAAGAGGCTTCTTACTAGGTCCATTCAAAGGTTATTTATTGATGAAGAAAGATTTATGAGTAACATAAATCAGCTAGAGAATGCTTACTTTTCCGCGAGATTCCAAGTCCTGCTGAAAGAGGCTTCATCTGTTTCAAGCAATGATAAAAATTTGATGGAAAGTAGACCGAGGTTGCCTCATGTGGAGAATGTTAATAAGGAGCCTAGAAGAATTCAGAGTTCTGTTGGTTGTCTAGGATCCTTCTTTGAAGGTTTATGCAAGTTTGCTCGTTACAGCAAGTTTGAAGAGTGTGGAAGATTAAGAAATAAAGATCTGCTAAGTTCTGCCAATGTAATGTGTGCTTTAAGTTTTGACCGTGATGAGGATTACATTGCAGCAGGAGGAGTTTCAAAGAAAATCAAGATTTTTGACCTCAATGCTATTTCAAGCGATTCTAATGACATCCAGTACCCAGTAGTTGAGATGTCAAATAAATCAAAGCTTAGTTGTGTGTGCTGGAACACTTGCATAAAAAATCATCTGGCATCTACTGACTATGATGGTGTGGTTCAGGTGTGTAATCCTTGCAACATTATTGCTATAGTTAATGAGAGGTTTAAATATGTCTTTTTATCACTGCAAATATCCCGTGTCATCATTTAATGATGACATGATATACATCTTGACATGGAACGTCATGTCACATCAACGAACGTCCAGAGATGGCATATGACATGACATGTTTTGATGCATATCATGTTATCATGAATGATGATAGGTATTACTTTAAAAACTTCTGTAATTTATGAAAGACTAAAACTAACAGTATTTTCAAAGGTATTAAAACTAAAATTTGTCATACTTGCAAGGACTAACAAACATATTAAACCTACATGAGAACCAACCAAATTTCAGTGCTTTTTCTATTGACTACTATTTCTTAGGTTTGATTGACATTAGTAACATAACTTGTACGGATGAATTCAGATGTGGGATGCAGACACAGGTCAGCCATTGTCCCAATACATGGAGCACCAAAAAAGAGCTTGGTCTGTTCACTTTTCTCAGTCTGACCCAAAATTGTTTGCTAGTGGAAGTGATGACTGCTCTGTCAAACTCTGGAATATCAGCGAGGCATGCTTTCTTTTATGCACTTTAAATAGCAAACCATTACTAACACACAGTATATTGGTATTTATACTATTTGATGTTATATAGTAGAATTTTTTCATGTTCTTTTGCCCCTCCCTGGAAAATAAAAAGAACAATAAGAAAGGAATCAAAACTATGTGATAGGAAAGATTCAGTCGTGTATTTTTGCTTCACAGCATGTAATATTTATCACAAAATGCTGTTCATGCAGAAAAATTCTCTGGGAACCATCTGGAACCCTGCCAATATATGCTGTGTTCAGTTCTCTGCTTACTCAACAAATCTTCTATTTTTTGGATCTGCTGATTACAAGATTTATGGTTATGATCTTCGTCATACTAGAATCCCTTGGTGCACATTATCTGGTCATGGAAAAGCTGTTAGCTATGTAAAATTTATAGATGCTGAAGCAGTTGTCTCAGCTTCCACTGACAATTCTTTGAAACTTTGGGACCTGAAGAAAACCAGCTCTTCTGGTTTGTCATCTGATGCTTGTGCCTTAACTTTTAAAGGTCATAGTAATGAAAAGGTAAGGTTGGTTTCTCTACAGATTTTACCTCACTTTGTGTCTAGTTTTGTTTGTTCTAATTTGTTTATTGTTCATCTTTTTCTCCAGAATTTTGTGGGATTATCTGTTTTGGATGGATACATTGCATGCGGTTCAGAATCTAATGAGGTATAGTTTTTATTTTATCATAACCTCGACTTTGTAAAATGGAATATTAGTTTGGTTTCTGCCTCCCTTGAATGCTGATTGTCATGAGGCCTGCAAAATATTTTACATTCTGCACTACATGTGGGCAAAGAAATTAGTTCTTTAATTTTTGGGATTTCTCTCTTTTGGGTCACTCTCTGATTATTTAGGATCCTGATCAAAAAATGGAGTTACACAGACTAATCTAACTTTCTAAAGTTTTAGCATTGTTATTGCTTTTTTTCATTCATATGATTATGTGTTTTTGTTCATCAATAAAAGGTTTTACTAATCTCAAATATTTCTTTTCGCAATCCTAATTCATTTTTTCTTGTAGATATAGTTTAAATTATTTGACTGGTAATTAATCAATACTTTATAGGTTTAACTACAAGCCCAGGTTATGCATATTGAATGTAGCCGAGATATCATTTTTTCTTTTCTTGAACACCAAGTTTATACTTTATACCACATGGAAGATGCTTGGAGTTCATATATAGGTCCTTCACCTGATTTTTTGTGTACAATCAGAAAATATAAGTATCATCCATTCATGCAATTAAGAAAGATAAAACGTTGGTTGTTCATATTTATATCAAGGCTCAAGCTAATGCTATTTGTGCGAGCTTGCTTTTCTTGATTGAATTTTCCAGAAAATGTATGAAAACAATATACTAATTCTAATTCATTTTAAACATTTCAACCTTTCAGGTATACTGTTATCACAAATCACTTCCAGTGCCAATTGCCACTCATAAATTTGAGTCAATTGATCCAATTTCTGGTCATCAAAATGGTGGTGATAATAATGGACAATTTGTTTCAAGTGTTTGCTGGAGAAAGAAATCTAACATGCTTGTTGCTGCCAACTCAGTTGGAATCGTGAAACTGTTGCAGATGGTCTGACAGAAAAGAGAAAATAATTGGCTAACACTGAAACCTGAAAAGCAGTTCATTGCCTGATTCCATCATATTTTGATTTAGTATCCCTGTCAGAAGACTAAGCATGCATTCTATTTGAGATGAACTCTCAGACCAGTTCTTTATTCAGGCTTCAATGATTAGTGGTGAATAAAGTTTAAATGGGGTCTAGATTTGATTGCTTCTGAGGCAAGCATCAACGAGCCCTTATTTTCCATGCTTTAGAAATCCTTTGAAGAAACTGTTTTCTGCAATATGACAAGAGGAGCATTTTTTTCTTAAAATCTGACAAATAAACTCAACAAGATAGCATTTACAAATGTTGGCTTTTGAACTGAAGCACTGGTGAAGCTGGAGCTGCAGGTCTCTTTCAAATATCAATATGACATGCGAGGTTTCCTCTGATGATTCTGATCCATTACTTCTGTATATAGCACACCCTCCAAAGATGAGATACAAACTAATTACCTTGTCTTCTAAATCACTTTTAGTTTATCAGAGAAGTACAGTATATGATCTATGCTTTGCATTTACTTGCAAAAACTAACTGTAGTTTATGTAATGGTTCAAATATTATTGTTACACCTTTTAAAATTGTGCAAAAGTTGCATGTTTATTCTTATTGGCTGCCAACTCTATTTCCATGTCACATAACTTTGTAATCAGTTACCTGAAAAAGAATATCTTTTTATAGATTGGTAAAGAGTGCGATCTTGGGTAGAACTGTCGCTAAAATTTCGTTTGTTTTCTGTTATGTTTGAAAGATTTTTCGAATGTGCAGAAGAATAAAGAATGTTAGAGAAGGCAAATAGTACTTGCACAATGGGATGTTCTTATCACAATTTGGTTCAATAAATAAATAAATTGCAATCTTTTACTATATCCTTGCAATATTACATACACTAGAGAGTATGAGTGTGCTTGATAAATTACTCTAATAATTTATAATATATTTAAACTAGTTTATGAGTTGATTTGATTAAAATAAGTTTGTTTGATATGAGTTTATTTTGGTCATTTATAATTTATTTTTATAAGTTATTTCGTTAATTTATGAAAATAAGTTAATTTATAAGTTATTAGTTTATGTTTTTTTTTTATTCTCATTAATTTATTTGATTTTTTTTTTCAACTTAGAAATCATTTTATATTTTTAAATCTCAGTAACTTATTGAAATTTTTTTTTTATTCTTTTTTTTTTCAATTTAGAAACCCTTTTGTGTAGTTAATTCAGTCTAGTTTGATGTTTTTTAATGGATTTAAAATTTAAAATTAGATGTGACATATTTTAGATTAAATTATATTTTTGGTTCATTTTAGTTTTATTTTGTATTTAGATTAATTTAGTCCTTTTTAATAATGATTTTTTTTTTCAAATTCGTAACACAATTTTAAATTAATTTTTAATTGATTTAAGATATAAAATTTATAATATTAGTATCGTTTATATGATAATTATGAGTAATTGACATTTGAATCTAAAAGGATTATAAACCTAATAAAAATCATATAAAAATATATCTTACTAACAATTATAAAATAGTATAAAATTATTTTTAGAACTTTTTTATTTTATTTTTTATTTTGGACATATTTTTATGTGATTCTCATTATGTTTATAATATTTTTTATTTGAATTTCAGTCACATTTAATAGTTTCCAAATAAGTCAATCTAATAAGTTTCAAGTTTTGAATTAGTAAAAAAAATATCAAAATCATGTCTTAAAATTAAAAATAATCATTATTTTAAAATAGTCAAATCAACCTAAATTTAGGAAATAAAGGATTAAAATAAATATTTTAAAAAATAAAAGACCATAATAAATAAAAAAAATAAGATAAATAAAATATTTTAAAGATGAGTTCCAAATACATTTCATGTCATCCTTATTTGATTTAGGATCTTATATATTTTAATAAATATATGTTCTTGAACAATTATATATTACTAATATAATTTTTTTATTTAGTAGATAATATTTTATATGACATGATGTTATGTTTATAATAATATTATAATTAATTTTAAATATATTTTTAAAATATTTTAAATTCAAGTTTTATATTTTTTCTGTTCTATGATTTAATATATAATATTAAAATTGATGTATGATGTTAAAAGATCAAATTATTTTAGTATAAACTATTAGTGTTAGCGTATCAATGAAAGTAGGGATAGTATTACAAAATTTTAATTTTAAACTTTATTATTGTAATTATAATTTCTCTTACAAATAAAAAAAATCTTATTTCATATTTTCGAATGTCAACCGGATTCAAAATTTAATGAAATAACCTATAAAAACTCCTGAACATAAATCCATCGCAACAAGTCTCATCCGTAACACAACTATATGGAAAAAAAAATATATATTTTCTCTTGGATTAGTTAGACTACTTATTTTTGTCAGTTTATTTTTGTAGCCTCAATAATCATGATGTTAGGAGTTATTTTGTTGATGTTTATCTAAAGAAATATTTTATATCAAAAGAAAGATTATAATTTATTATTTTTATCAAGTTATTTTATACAATTTTACAGTAGTGAGAAATTGTCTCTTTAGAACCTAATATTTCACAAATTTGCTTTTAATTATTATTCAAAAGGTTTATCTATATGTGTATTTTATAAACTATTACTTTTAATGATTTTCTCTTCAAACAAAAAAACTTAACTTTTAATTCAATGAAATCTATATGTATATATGATTTCATTCAACAAAATTTACATTTGTTATAATTTATTGATTGTTATTAAATACAACTTGCGAATCTAATAGCACGATGAGATTATTTTGGCAACTTATATTTTATAAAGATATATTTTTTATCATATGAGTATAATTTAATTTTATTCATAGATTTTTATTTATAAAGAAAAAATTGTGATAAAAAAATAAATATTAATATTATATTTTGAAGACAAGAAACAAATCTTAAAATAATAAAATAAATTAAATCTAAATATATAAAATATAAATAAAAAAGTTCATATCAAAATTAATTTATTCTTAGGAAGATATTTAACCATATTCCCGATGCGTACGTAAAAGATGAGTGTTGTCTCTAAAATAAAATAAAGCTGCAGAAACTTAGCATAATGCACCATTACCTAACACTTTGTTTGATTGGATTAAAAAAAAAAAGTGGACTTAAAGGATTGTGGACTGAAGGAAAACACGATAGTGTGTAATCTTTTCACTGTCTAGATATCCTAAACACGTGAATAAAATAGATTTCGTTTGTGGAGCGAAGGAAAACACGTTAGTAAAAAATGTGGTTTGTGGACCGAAGAGAAACACGATAGTAGACAACCTTTTCACTGTTTTACATACTATATTAAACTAAGTCACTGCGATGTCCAAAAAGAAAAGCATAATAGAATTTCTGGTGGGAGTTGCTTATCATGCTATATCAATTTTTTTTTTTATTTTTTAAAGTAATGAAGTTTTTACAAGTAATTTTATTAAAATTTAAATAATTTATAAATAATAAAAAAGAGTTGATGGGATATGATGTAATACAAGAGATTACTTATAAATAATTTCACTGCAGATGCAGATGCAGATGCTCTAAGTTATTGTTTGCTTATTTTTATAATATTATTTATTTATTCACTTATACTCTTAAATGTCATAATCAAAAGTCACCTTTGTCACTTAATTAAACTACGGATGATTTAAATTTAAATTTTAGATATAAAATAAATTATATTCTCTATTGACAAACCACATTGAAGATCAGTAATCAATTAAAAAATATTTAGGTAAAAATAATTTTTTTTTGTCTTTTATATTATTTATTAATGTTAATTTAGTCTATTTTAATTAATTAAATCAATTTAGTCTTACATACTTAAAATATATATCAATGTTTGATTTTTCGTTTAAATATTTAATAGATATGACACGTGTTATGTTATATGTCATGTCACGTGTCATGATGTCTAGTCATGTGGCATGATAACATGAAACGTGTCCTATCTGTTAAGTATTTAAACGAAAAATACGGAAAATCAAACACTGAAATATATTTTAAAAGAGTTAATCACCTATATACCACCAGTATAAAATTTTTTACAGTAGCAACTAATTATATTTTTTACTTGTGTCATGTCATTATAAATACATTTATTTTTAATAGTGACATGACACAATTAAAAAATATAATTGGTTACCGGTATAAAAAAAATTTACACTGATAATATATAAGTGATTGACTCTTTTAAAAATGTAGGAAGAAAACTATATTTTTGTAAAAAAATAATTATAATTATTTTGAATTATATATTATATAAATAATTTGGAGAAATAGTGTAATGATTAATGTGTCCTTTATTGTGTTTAGGATATAAATGAAGGTGTTCCCTGAAACCGAAAGTAGGAGATAGATTGAGAATGTTGCTAAGTTCATCAACAATAGTGAGTATAAATAGAAGCAGTAACAGAAAGATACTGCACCAACCCAACAGCAACAGCAATAGCAATATCTTCACACTCTTACTTCACATATACCCCGTGGCTGTCGCCGTCGCCGTCGCCTCCGCCCTACTCCTCCTTGCCGCCTTCGCCTATTGCCTCCGCCGACGCAAGACCGTCCGCCGCCACACGCCGGAGCTCCACCCGCTGCTGCTGCCGCCACAAGAGCAACAACAGAAGTTCTGGTCACCGTGAGCCTCCTTATAAATTTTACTTTATCATTTTCTTTTACCCCCTTTTACAGTAAAGATAGAGACTTTAAAAAAGAATTCTTACTTGCTTTTTAATTTTTAAGAGTGGAAGACAGCAATCGCATCTAATTTTATCCTCCATCCAAAAACATTACGAAGAAAAATATTTTTTAAATATAATATATAAAAATATACTTATTTATGTTATTCAGTTTATAATTATATAAATAATTAAATATGTTTTAAGTTTAAATAAAATTAATAAATTTCGATTTTAGTTTTTGTAAAATTTTTCTTTATTTTTTATTTTAT